TCTTTTAGAAACATCTCTTTGTAAATGAACACTAACAGAAGAGGTAACAATGTGGGGGAAAAAACTCTCCACAGCCAACAAAACCAAACCCAAGAAGAAGGAAAAAGGTCCCCCTCTTATACTTGCACATTTGCTTAAAAATAAATGTTTGCCAAAGTTTATTATACTTCCCTTAGCCAAAAATCAAAACAAATTCTCCTCAGCACTGCCAACGTGTTTATTGAATCACATGACTGGGAACGGAGCCAAGCTACCTCAAACTGCTGTTCCTGTGGCATAAACAAACCTGAAACTGGAATAAAAGGGGCACGAGGCACTCAGCTGTTCAAATTAGATAAGGCAAACTCACACTTGTCGTGTAAGCAGCTTCAGGGTCATCCTCCAGCACTCGTGACAGACCAAAATCGGAGACTTTGCACATGAGGTTGCTGTTGACCAGGATGTTCCGTGCTGCCAGGTCCCGGTGCACGTACCCCATGTCTGAGAGGTACTTCATGCCAGAGGCAATCCCCCTCAGCATTCCAACCAGCTGGATGACTGTGAAGTGGCCGTCGTGCTTCTGCAAGGAAAGGTGCAAGTTCAAAGAACACATTCATTTCATTCTAGCGATGTTAACTACAGCTCTTATTTAAAACACATTTGTAACCCAGCCAGCCAACATGCTTGTTTTTTCAAGTATTTGACTTGGTCTGCAGTGTATGCCATCTCATCTCCCATTGTCCAGTTTATCCCCATTTTCTTCCATATTTTCACACATTCCACAGTCTTCCTGCTGACAAAATTTAACATCTTTTATAATAGGTTACTAAGAACATCTTCCCCAAACACTGTTTTTTAGTACAAGAAGGAGAAAGCACACAAAAATCCTCTCTTCATCTTTTACTCTCTGGCCTCAAGAAACAAAGAACCCTCTTTTTATTATCTCAGCCTTGATTGTCTGCATTGAGGTACTGCTGCTACCTCACTTTTTTTGCTTTTTTGGGGGAGGTTTCTTTGTTTAAAAAAAAAAAAATATCCCAGAACAGCCCGGAAAAAGTCTGGAGCTTTATCTCATGTTTGTTCTGCACCTAACACCATATAATCTCTGAATACTAGATTAAAAAGGAGACTTGGGCTGAAATTCAGGGGTTATTCCAAAGCTTTTCCAAAGTCTTCCTGGAAGAAAGCCCTTAAGCACAGCCCCATGAATACAGTAAGCTGTTTAACTCCTATTGGTGTTGAACATGTAAATAAGAGTGTCATTAACCACACTTGTCCAGCTGGTCAGTCTTTCTGGGCCTCAGTTTCCCCATCTGCAGCATTAAAGTTAACATTTCTTTATGTCCTACATCAGACAGCTCATGAATTATGTAGCAGTGGGAACCAAGTGAGTACATGTATAGAAATGTGATTATGGGCTCTTTGCCTTTTTTAGGTCTGCCCTGTCTACCATTTACAGCAGACTGCTTACAGGATTATTTTTGTGACCTCAGCTGGCAGACATTTAGCTTCTCATGGATTATTCAGTGAGCCAGGCTTTTATGTTAGGAGGAACAGCCAAACAAAAACAAACAACTCTCTCCTGCAAGCAAGTTAACTTTTCATTTTCTCCTCCAGCACCTTTAGCATTGGGCAACAGAGAAGTAGCAATGTTCTGATCAGCATTCAGAACACTTCTACTGCTTAGCTGGTACATTTAAGCAAGATGATTTTTTGTAGGGGAGAGGCTTACAGTAAGTTCAGAAAATTAATTAGATTCACCAAAGCAACGGGCTGAACTGTATAGATATGCTTAACTTTATCCCTGGTCAGCAAAGTATTTCAGCATTTCCATAGTGATTCAATGGTTTGGGGCCTGTATTCAGCTCATCAGGATATAAATATTTAAAGAATAAATAAAAGAAATCCAGAAAGAAAATGGTAAAAGGAAAATACCAACACATTTTGTCAGCTAGAAGACCTCACAACCTCAAGACACAATTGTGATAACCAGACATTTTACAGAAGGCCATCCCCTCTTATGAGCCTATGACATTCCTTATCACAGGACCCTACCACAAGAATAAGGGTTATTTCAGAGTCCAAAATATACCATATTTTAAATAAAAACATTCCATCTAGCAATTAAGATAATATTCTTAAATACTTTAAGCCTCTTCGATAAAGGAAGGAAATGGACTTTATCCAATGCTTTATGTAATGAGGCCACACAGGATTTGGGTTTTGCTTTTCATTTAATACTTCTAAATGTTCAATTGATTTAAAAATTATGAAGCTGGCTGCCAACAGTTAATACTCTTCACACCGTGTATGGATAACTCTTTTTTAGCTAACTGTAGAATTAGGATTTGGAACAAAGTGCCAGCACCTGACTTTTGCAAAATGATGGATCAAGTCCCTCCCACCTCCACAACAAAACACCAAACAAAACCAGCCCCCAAACCTCTAGATTTCACCTCCTGCTTATCTTCCTTAACAGCTGCATTCTTTCAACAAACCTTGGATTCATCTGCAACACCTCCCTTAACCTTTTGTCCTCTCACATCACAAGCATTCCTTCCTTCCTTTTTTAATTTCTGCTCTTTCAAACCTAGACCATGCTTGATTAATTTTTCATAAAACATAACCTTTTTCTGCTCTTTCCAATTCTCAGTATTTGCCTTACCAGTATAGCAGTAATGCCTGAGTTTAAAACAATCTCATGCTTTTGCCATTCTCTCCCTCCTTTCAAATTTCTTTCAGCTTCTGCCTTGACAAAAAAAGTTCAAACTTATTATCTTCACCTTTGAAGAAATGACAGACCTGCTAACATACGACTTGCAATTTTATTCTGTCCTCCTTCTCCCTCTGCATATTTCTCCAAATCCTCTACTGCATCTGTTTTCCTCATGCTTGGTTTTATATTGTTTCACTGCTAGCCTTGCTGTCGGAACAACTACATTTTTTCCCACCAGCAAAACAGTCTTCTTTCTCAAGTCTCTTTTTAATCACTTCTGCATCTGTTTCTGCACCAATTGTGTTCCTGCACAATCTGTAAACTGTTACCCTTCAATATATCCAAATATCTGATCTGGATACAGACTGTGGCCATACCTAACCCTTGGAAAATTCAGCTAGTTTGATAAAATTATTGCAGATATGAATCTGGCCCCGTATCTTCAGCATGTGTAAATCCCCAGGTACAATCCTTTGGCAACTTTCCATTATCTTGTTTCATTTGCTTATTGTTTAGGGACATAAAACACTCATCTGAACGATAGGGTGGTTTTTACCCAGGGTTTTATTCTGATTCCCATAGCTTAGATTTGAAATATGCTTCTGATAGGATTCCCTCTGGGCTCTTAAGGGCGTTAATCAATACTGGCAGCCATTCAGACCTCAGTGGACTCACCACATTTATCCTATCATTCCATTAAATTTTAATCAGGCTTTAATGGCTTTACTAAATAAACTTTTCTCAACAGCTGAGTATAGATGCAATGTCTGAGTAGTTGCCACTGCATTTATGCAGCGGTGCAAATGCCCTGAAAAAAAGCATTCTTATTCAGCTACAGTTGGCTTTTGAAAACCTTATGTAAGTTAAATATTCTCCTCCTGTTACAGACCTTTCAAGAGCAGTGACATATAATGGGGCTGGTCAGTTCCTGCAGGGGAGGAAGGATGATATGCAAAGTTTCTCTCATTCCAGCTCCAGCGTGCACTAGTTCAGTGCTTTTCTACAAGCCCATGGAAATTTTGTTCTAGAGAAGGTTTTTTTTCTATTTAACTCTTCAGTAACCTTTTGAAGGCTTGGTCACTGGATTTTTCTGTATTGTTTCTAGACTTCCATCTATTCTAAAGTCCACTTTTTTATTTGACATATAATTCAGAGCACTTTTATGCCCTTATGCTCTAAGAAATGTGCAGGATTTGCTATAGGTCTAAATATTTTACTGCAGATTATTTACATCTTATTTTACATGGAGAATAGCATTGAAAATGATGTGACTGTGACTAACTTAGACCATACTCACCAGCGGCAGATCCTACTGGTCACTATGTGAAAGATGTAGTTTTTGTATGCATTTCTTGTTACTGTTCTACCATGCAAAGAAAATTGTAAGATTTTATCAGCTTAAATCTTCCAAAATTCAAGTTGCAACTTGGTATTGCTAGGCAGTGTAACCCATGTTTCATGCTATCACGTGTAACACAGTCAGGTTTATATTATTGGCATGGAATGAGGTCAACTGGTAATTTCTTCTTTAGTCAACAGTTAACAGAGTTCCATGCAGATTTAATTAATTATTATTAATAGGTTTTATTAATTCAATTAAATATAATTACTCTAGTTCATTTTAATTGCTAATGAGTGATCTTAATTGACTCTTCAACCGTTAAAAATGTGGGAAATCTTTATATTATTCAAAATATTTGCACGATGAACCCCTTCCAAGGTTTATTATGAGATGCAAAACCTGCCCTCTATTCTGGACAGCACAGCAGTAGTAGCCTTGGCGTCCTGCTTTCCTCAATCAGCTACAGCAACAAGGAAGGGATGTCCTGGAATAATCAAGTGTCTCTGCCCACACTGGTGCACTGGAATACAGCTGACACAGAGTCACAGAGGTGGAAGGGACTTTGAACAGGGAGTAAATCATCTCTTCAGTCTGTGTCATTCCTGACATGCTTTTCTAACCTGCACTTAAAGACTATCAGGGCCATTAGTTCTTATCCTATACCATATCTTGAATAAGATGCCTCCCTTGAGCAGGGGCTTTGACTGGCACAGATTGCAATTCCTCTTTGCAACTCTTTCATATGCCCATGAAGACTAAATATCTCTCTTGCCCTTTCTTTTGGGCTTCACACTGGTTCAGTCCACACATCTCATCTTCTTGGCAACTATTCTTTTTGATTTTGTTGTGGACTCTTTGTTCACCTCCTCCATACATTTCCTGAAGAATTAAGGTCCAAACAAGAGAGTACTCTGAGCCCTCACCAATGTAAAGGGATAGAAAAATTTACTTCACAGACTTTGAAAAGGATACTCTTCTTTCTAGTTTCCAGGGTGCCATTTGCATTTGTCACAGCAATGCAAATGCCCCTGACCTACTGCAAATTCCAGAGTAATTTCTTTCAGCAGACTTCTGTCTGAACACTTATTCTCTGTTCTCTACTCTAGAGCTGATTATTCCAGCCACAGTGGAGTACTGTACCATTGTCCTTACTTATTTCTAGTTAGTTTTAAGCTAATTAGTTACTAAATTATATCTTAAAATTGTTGTGGTGGTTTTAAATTCTAGCTCTATCCTGCTGTCTACCTGAGTTCCTACTCAGCTTTGTATTGCCTGAAAATTTCAAAGTTTAGTTGCAGTCTCAGGATCCAGAAGTTTAATAAAAATATGGGAAAACACAGACTGCAGAAGAGCTCCACCCCATATTTCTTTCCATCCAAATTCCATTCCCTCCATACAGAATGTTGCCAATACAGTTTCCACCAGTAGAAGTTTCATGAAGACCGTATTTCTCCAGCTTCTCATCAGGATCTCATGGGAGAGTTTTCCAGCCTTACTGAAGTCAAGGTTTAGGAGATCAGCT